CCAGAGAGAGGGACCAGAGAGAGAGACCAGAGAGGAAGACCAGAGAGAGAGACCAGAGAGAGAGACCAGAGAGAGACCAGAGAGGAAGACCAGAGAGAGAGACCAGAGAGAGACCAGAGAGAGAGACCAGAGAGAGACCAGAGAGAGACCAGAGAGAGAGACCAGAGAGAGACCAGAGAGGAAGACCAGAGAGAGAGACCAGAGAGAGACCAGAGAGAGACCAGAGAGAGAGACCAGAGAGAGAGACCAGAGAGAGAGACCAGAGAGAGAGACCAGAGAGAGAGACCAGAGAGAGAGACCAGAGAGAGGGACCAGAGAGAGAGACCAGAGAGGAAGACCAGAGAGAGAGACCAGAGAGAGGGACCAGAGAGAGAGACCAGAGAGGAAGACCAGAGAGAGAGACCAGAGAGAGAGACCAGAGAGAGACCAGAGAGGAAGACCAGAGAGAGAGACCAGAGAGAGAGACCAGAGAGGAAGACCAGAGAGAGAGACCAGAGAGAGACCAGAGAGAGACCAGAGAGATGGGGGTTTGATTATTGGAGAAAGAGGGAATGATGGAGTAGTGGACTGAATTAAGAGAGCTATGGCAGAGCAGTGGTGTGACCAAAAAAAAAAAGGCAGAGCAAACTGTAAAAATGAAATAATTTAATTAAAACAAAGTTAAAAAGTCTTTAAAATGTAATAAAAGGGCTGAGGGGCCGTCCTCCGGGGACTTGCGCACAAAAACAAAAAGAAAGGCCGACAGGAAAATTTCTCTCCACGTATTGTACAACGGACATCGGGCGGGCACTTACAGGCACGGCAGGGATCTGCCTGCAGGGATCCGCCTGCAGGGATCCGCCTGCAGGGATCCGCCTGCAGGGATCCGCCTGCAGGGATCCGCCTGCAGGGATCCGCCTGCAGGGATCCACCTGCAGGGATCCGCCTGCAGGGATCCACCTGCCGTGCGTTCTCCACGAGTCGGCACCGTCTCCTGCTCGCGGTCCAGCTCCGCCCCTGGGCACAAGGACGAAACCACAGCACCAGAAACCGAACACACAAGCAAGAGACCCCACAAAATGCTCTTATAGCACCGCTACAGCGACTGCAGGTACTTACAGGCAGCGGCAGGGACTCACCCTGCCGCTGCCTGTAGTCAACGTCACGGTGCTCTTCGCCGGGTCAGGTGTCTCCTCAGACCGCCGCCGCTTCCCTCTCCACCACGCTCCCTGCCACAGACCAGAGCCAGTACACAGTATACGGACAACCGATTCACCAGCTGCTGGGGGCCTGAGGCTCTTCTGGCTGCACCAACTAATCTACATAGAGTTACTCACGGGCGAGGCAGAGCTTTCTCGCTCTGCCGCTGCGTGGATAAGGCACGCTGGTGCAGGCAGGTCGCTGCTCTGTCTGGTCTCTTGGAGCTGTGGTGTCCCGAACGCGCTGTCCTCCGACGTCCTCCGCTCGCTCGTCCTCAGTGGCTTTGTTCTTCCGTTGCGCGCCTGTGTGCTTCACCTGCCCTTTTGTCCTCTGCTCTCTCATTAGGCGCAGGTGCGCTGGTTGTGTGGCGTTCAGGATTGGACAGCAGTTCATGGGGCTCTGTGGCATGACTCCAGCTGGGGTGGGACTAGCAACTAAAAACACTCATGCATAGATAAAAACATCACTGCAAACTAACAACATGTCCTCTCCCACGTGCCGGATCACAGAGAGACCAGAGAGAGACCAGAGAGAGACCAGAGAGAGACCAGAGAGAGACCAGAGAGAGACCAGAGAGAGAGACCAGAGAGAGAGACCCGGGAGAGAGACCAGAGAGAGGCCAGAGAGAGACCAGAGAGAGAGACCAGAGAGAGACCAGAGAGAGACCAGAGAGAGAGACCAGAGAGAGACCAGAGAGAGACCAGAGAGAGAGACCAGGGAGAGAGACCACACTCAACCATTTTGGGCTTGACAGATCTGTGGGTTAGCGCTGTCTGTGATCCTGGTGTTTATATTGTATTGTATTGAGAGAGATTCAGGTGTCGAGGTGGAGTAGTCGCTGAGTGGAGCAGGACATAAAAAAACATTCAAAAACTATCTAAAAAAAAAAGAAGTCCGTATACTGAAGAAATATTCTGGAAACCTGCCCTTAACTTTATTTTGCAAACAAACAAACCCCAAATGGAGTCAAAAAGCTCTGGATTTGACTCTTCCCCTTGGATCCATAATGTATTAATCTAATCTAAATGTTGCTGTGTAAGAATATCGTAGTTTTACAATCTTCAGCTTGCAGAGTGATGGAGGAGAATGGCCTCTTCCTCTCCCCCTCCTCCTCCTCCTCCTCTGCATCCTGAGCTCTGCCCTTTCTCACTACGATAGATTCAATTAGCCCACTTTCCCCATGAGCCTGCAGCCATTTTTAGACTCGGCTGCTCCGTGCCGCTGCAGAGAAGAACCACCTTTACCTCTGACAGGAACGCGGCAAAATCAGGAATAACCCGGGATTAGACCAGAGAGAAAACGTCTCGTATGAACCACAGAGAACCCGTCTCCGTGTCACAACGCCACAACACAAAAGTGATGAAATATAGGTGTAATATTTATTGCTAATGTTATTAGGATTAAGATTTTAAGAGCTTTAACAAAATATATTATTCAATTTAATGTATTTGTATAAAGCCCTAACGTAACAACAGGGAGGACTGAGGCTGTAGACCCAGGACTGAGGCTGTAGACCCAGGACTGAGGCTGTAGACCCAGGACTGAGGCTGTAGACCCAGGACTGAGGCTGTAGACCCAGGACTGATGCTGTAGACCCAGGACTGAGGCTGTAGACCCAGGACTGAGGCTGTAGACCCAGGACTGAGGCTGTAGACCCAGGACTGAGGCTGTAGACCCAGGACTGAGGCTGTAGATCCAGGACTGAGGCTGTAGACCCAGGACTGAGGCTGTAGACCCAGGACTGAGGCTGTAGACCCAGGACTGAGGCTGTAGACCCAGGACTGAGGCTGTAGGACCCAGGACTGAGGCTGTAGATCCAGGACTGAGGCTGTAGATCCAGGACCGAGGCTGTAGATCCAGGACTGAGGCTGTAGATCCAGGACTGAGGCTGTAGACCCAGGACTGATGCTGTAGACCCAGGACTGAGGCTGTAGACCCAGGACTGATGCTGTAGACCCAGGACTGATATCTTTGTACAACCACAGAAGCAGAGGTGGTTTCTCTGCCTTTTCTCATGAACGATTGTAGAGAATCCAGGTTAATTTCTGAACATTTGTGTTTTTTCTTACGTCAATTTGTCGCCTTTAAACAAAAATACATACTTTATAACTATAAATTCTCATAAGGATTAATGATGGGGACTTTGTTATTATCGCTGCATCTAAACCTGAGCAGGAATATGGATTGGGAGGAAGCAAATCACGTCCAAAGAATGGATGTTCTTGTTTGTGATTCTCCTGAACACATGGGTCCCACAGGAGCAGCGTTTGTCCTTACGAGTGATGTCACCGCACAAAGCCTTCCATTCACAATGAACTCGACTTGAACTAAAGCCTTACACTCAGCGGCAGGAGCGTTTTCCCCACGACAATGTCAGATCTTTTATGTTTTTGTCTGGAGACGCTGTAAGAAGTGGGAGGACAACTATCTCTAGTGTTACGAGTAAGACGGAGCAGAGGTGATTCTGAGTTCTCTGCAAACGATAAAAGCTACGTACACAAAGTCATGAAAAGAATCAGAGAAGAAGAATATTGAGTCATACTGAGACATTATTCAGTTAAAAAAAAAAATTTGTATAGGCCTTAATCACAACGGTAGTCATCTCGAAGGACTTTACAAAGCTGTCGATTCGCCGACACAGGTCAGAGGATCAAACGCAAGAAATAGAAAGATTAAAAACACATTGGTCCAAAAGCGGCAGAGACCAGTGTCCATAAATGTCTTTGAGTGTCCTGGATCATCACAGTCCTCATACCAGCAAGAAACACCCAGTGGGAGAAAAGTGAGAAACCTCTGGGAAGGCCCACATGGAGGGAGGGGTCTGCTCCCACGGACAGAGAGGCTGTAGATCCAGGACTGAGGCTGTAGATCCAGGACTGAGGCTGTAGATCCAGGACTGAGGCTGTAGATCCAGGACTGAGGCTGTAGATCCAGGACTCAGGCTGTATAACGAGGACTGAGATCACGCGATGCAGGACTGAGGCTGCTCCCAAGAAGAGAGTCCACAGGAGCTGAGGAGGCTGTGTTCAGAGCTCCAATCCTCACGCCATGAAACAGACAATGGGACAGCGGGTGAATAGTAATGAACAGACTACAGCTGAAGTCATAATGATGACAGATAAAGTAGGAAGAGGAGAGGATTGTGGTCAAGTGACTCCATATGCAGCTTCACTTATTGTTGTATTTCTAAGTCCAACCCGAGTCCAACCCGAGTCCAACCCGAGTCCAACCCGAGTCCAACCCGAGTCCAACCCGAGTCCAACCCGAGTCCAACCCGAGTCCAACCCGAGTCTTACCATATGCTAAATTAAAGAGGGGTGTTTTAAGCCGGGCCGTGAACATAGAGACTGTGTGTGCTTCCTTGACGTGGAGGAGGAGCTGATTCCACCGTGCAGCAGCTCGGTTTGGGACATAGAGAGTTAAAACGGGACATTATATCAATACATACTTATTGATTACAGCGATCTATGACTGAGCCTTTTCACTGATCTGACTAGTACTCTTAAGTTTAAAAATACTTTTGCAGTAGTTTTATCCTATTCTCAAACAAAACAACAACATCTGTTTAGACCCTCCCACTCACAACATAACACTAGCTTTAGATTTCAGTGCTGTATTCTGGATGCAATATTTGTGGGTGACCAAACATTTGACTTTATGTACATTTAAGTATTTTTCTTAAATACACACAGGTCCAGGACAACAAAACACAATCCACAAACGATCAGCTCAGTTTCCTCCACAGTAACAGAGCAGATGCAGAGTGACAGCATATAGAGCTAATATAATGTCCTGGTTAGCATTTAAAACACAGGTCAATGCAGAATCCTTAACCACAAAGAGACACTGTATAAAAACACTATTCATAACACATTATTTACAATCTGCTGGATAACTGCACACATAACAGCTGGACTGTGTGTTTCAGGCGCGGGTTCTGGCCACGATCGGCGTCACCAGGGGCCTTGGGGACCACCACCTCAAAGTGCACGACTCCAACATCTTCATCAAACCCTTCCTCTCCTGCTGCCCCGAGGTAACTGACCACAACTGACAGCCACCGACCACCAATGACCACAACCTACTCTACTCTACTCTACTCTACTCTACTCTACTCTACTCTGGAGTGTTTCCTCTGGTCCTGTTTAACCAGTACCAGGTCCTTCTTTAGTCCCTCTTGGTCCTGGTTCTATCCAGGCCGCGCTGGTACTAAAGTTTTCTAGCTGACAGTGATTGGCCAGAGTGCTGCTGGAAGCCATGGTTACCAAGGAATTTCCCCAAATACTGGTTTTTGTTGTGGGTAGAGTAGAGTTTTGAACGGCCTCTGTAAGTGAGTGACCAGTGAACCGTCATGTGAGAGTTCCTGGACTTGCCTCTCCACAGACTCGACCCGTGACCTGGCTGCGTCTCCATGGCGATGGTGAAGTGAGGATGTGTTGCAGACTGTTGCAGAAGTCGAAAGCTTTTGATCTTTAATTCAGCGCAGAGTTCAGCCACAGTTCAGAGCTTTTCGCTGTTTCCTTTGACGCAGGTTTCATCCACGTTCGAGAAAGACGTTTTCTCTTCAGACACAGAAACACATTATTATTATATCATTAATCATTGCACCAGGATTAACTCTCGGACTCCCACAACACGGTCGAGGCATTTAAAACACAACATTCTACTGCTGCACGCTAGGACAGAACAGGCAAGTTTATATGTATAGCACAGTTCATACACAAGGAAGGTCCAGTGGTTTTGATCCAGAACATTCCACGTTTATTAACATGTATTAACGGTCATGGACATTGGTTTCTGCCCTTTACGGACCAATGGCTCTACGTGTTTTTTATCATCGCATTTCCTGGGTTTGGACTTTGGGATTCTCTGATCTGTTGTTGACAAATCGACACCTTTGTAAAGACGGCTGTTTTGATTTAGGGCCATACTTGATTTGAGTCCAAGTGCCACTACATACTGATAGTGATATGTAACTAGTTTATCTGCTTCTGCTGCTACTACTTATATTACAGTAGTAGTAGTAGCAGTAGTGATAGTAGTTGTAGTAGTTGCAGTAGATTTTCGCAAATGTACAATATATATTTTCAGCGGTACATACACTTCCAAGAAACAAAGCTTAAAAGGAGAAGGCAGAAGCAAAAAGTATAAATGTACCTTCACCTTTTTCAATTCTACATTTAAGCAACAGCAAGAAGAGGTTTCACACGACAGTCCTGATTTTTATCATCATCATCTTCATCATCCTCATCCTCATCATCTTCATCATCATCATCATCATCCTCATCCTCATCCTCATCATCGACAGACAGACGCAGTAGATAGACAGACAGACTCAGTAAATAGACACAGACGCAGTAGATAGACAGACAGACGCAGTAGATAGACAGACAGATGCAGTAGATAGACAGACAGACGCAGTAGATAGACAGACAGACGCAGTAGATAGACAGACAGATGCAGTAGACAGACAGACAGACGCAGTAGATAGACAGATGCAGTAGACAGACAGACAGACGCAGTAGATAGACAGACAGATGCAGTAGACAGACAGACAGACGCAGTAGATAAACAGATGCAGTAGATAGACAGATGCAGTAGACAGACAGACAGACGCAGTAGACAGACAGACGCAGTAGATAGACAGACAGACGCAGTAGATAGATAGACAGACGCAGTAGATAGACAGACAGACTCAGTAAATAGACAGACAGACGCAGTAGATAGACAGACAGACGCAGTAGATAGACAGACAGACTCAGTAAATAGACACAGACGCAGTAGATAGACAGACAGACGCAGTAGATAGACAGACAGATGCAGTAGATAGACAGACAGACGCAGTAGATAGACAGACAGACGCAGTAGATAGACAGACAGATGCAGTAGACAGACAGACAGACGCAGTAGATAGACAGACAGACGCAGTAGATAGACAGACAGACGCAGTAGATAGACAGACAGACTCAGTAAATAGACACAGACGCAGTAGATAGACAGACAGACGCAGTAGATAGACAGACAGATGCAGTAGATAGACAGACAGACGCAGTAGATAGACAGACAGATGCAGTAGACAGACAGACAGACGCAGTAGATAGACAGACAGACGCAGTAGATAGACAGACAGACGCAGTAGATAGACAGACAGATGCAGTAGACAGACAGACAGACGCAGTAGATAGACAGATGCAGTAGACAGACAGACAGACGCAGTAGATAGACAGACAGATGCAGTAGACAGACAGACAGACGCAGTAGATAGACAGATGCAGTAGATAGACAGATGCAGTAGACAGACAGACAGACGCAGTAGACAGACAGACGCAGTAGATAGACAGACAGACGCAGTAGATAGATAGACAGACGCAGTAGATAGACAGACAGACTCAGTAAATAGACAGACAGACGCAGTAGATAGACAGACAGACGCAGTAGATAGATAGACAGACGCAGTAGATAGACAGACAGACGCAGTAGATAGACAGACAGATGCAGTAGATAGACAGACAGACGCAGTAGATAGACAGACAGATGCAGTAGATAGACAGACAGACGCAGTAGATAGACAGATGCAGTAGATAGACAGATGCAGTAGATAAACAGACAGACGCAGTAGATAGACAGACAGACGCAGTAGATAGACAGACAGACGCAGTAGACAGACAGACAGACGCAGTAGACAGACAGACAGACGCAGTAGACAGGCAGACAGATGCAGTAGATAGACAGACAGATGCAGTAGACAGACAGACAGATGCAGTAGATAGACAGACAGATGCAGTAGATAGACAGACAGATGCAGCAGACAGACAGACAGACGCAGTAGATAGACAGACAGACGCAGCAGACAGGCAGACAGACGCAGCAGACAGGCAGACAGACGCAGCAGACAGGCAGACAGACGCAGCAGACAGGCAGACAGATGCAGTAGATAGACAGACAGACGCAGTAGATAGACAGATGCAGTAGATAGACAGACGCAGTAGATAGACAGACAGACTCAGTAAATAGACACAGACGCAGTAGATAGACAGACAGACGCAGTAGATAGACAGACAGATGCAGTAGATAGACAGACAGACGCAGTAGATAGACAGACAGACGCAGTAGATAGACAGACAGATGCAGTAGACAGACAGACAGACGCAGTAGATAGACAGATGCAGTAGACAGACAGACAGACGCAGTAGATAGACAGACAGATGCAGTAGACAGACAGACAGACGCAGTAGATAAACAGATGCAGTAGATAGACAGATGCAGTAGACAGACAGACAGACGCAGTAGACAGACAGACGCAGTAGATAGACAGACAGACGCAGTAGATAGATAGACAGACGCAGTAGATAGACAGACAGACTCAGTAAATAGACAGACAGACGCAGTAGATAGACAGACAGACGCAGTAGATAGACAGACAGACTCAGTAAATAGACACAGACGCAGTAGATAGACAGACAGACGCAGTAGATAGACAGACAGATGCAGTAGATAGACAGACAGACGCAGTAGATAGACAGACAGACGCAGTAGATAGACAGACAGATGCAGTAGACAGACAGACAGACGCAGTAGATAGACAGATGCAGTAGACAGACAGACAGACGCAGTAGATAGACAGACAGATGCAGTAGACAGACAGACAGACGCAGTAGATAGACAGATGCAGTAGATAGACAGATGCAGTAGACAGACAGACAGACGCAGTAGACAGACAGACGCAGTAGATAGACAGACAGACGCAGTAGATAGATAGACAGACGCAGTAGATAGACAGACAGACTCAGTAAATAGACAGACAGACGCAGTAGATAGACAGACAGACGCAGTAGATAGATAGACAGACGCAGTAGATAGACAGACAGACGCAGTAGATAGACAGACAGATGCAGTAGATAGACAGACAGACGCAGTAGATAGACAGACAGATGCAGTAGATAGACAGACAGACGCAGTAGATAGACAGATGCAGTAGATAGACAGATGCAGTAGATAAACAGACAGACGCAGTAGATAGACAGACAGACGCAGTAGATAGACAGACAGACGCAGTAGACAGACAGACAGACGCAGTAGACAGACAGACAGACGCAGTAGACAGGCAGACAGATGCAGTAGATAGACAGACAGATGCAGTAGACAGACAGACAGATGCAGTAGATAGACAGACAGATGCAGTAGATAGACAGACAGATGCAGCAGACAGACAGACAGACGCAGTAGATAGACAGACAGACGCAGCAGACAGGCAGACAGACGCAGCAGACAGGCAGACAGACGCAGCAGACAGGCAGACAGACGCAGCAGACAGGCAGACAGACGCAGCAGACAGGCAGACAGACGCAGCAGACAGGCAGACAGACGCAGCAGACAGGCAGACAGACGCAGCAGACAGGCAGACAGACGCAGCAGACAGGCAGACAGACGCAGTAGATAGACAGACAGATGCAGCTTAAGTCCCTCGGCTCTGAATGAACTTCCAGCCCAAGGCCAGTCACGCGTTCAAATACTTCAACACTTTGTTCTTTTTCATTTGGCTGAAGACCACGATTACTTGACATTTTAATTCTTATCTTTTACCTTCAAAAATATCCTCTGTGAAAGAAACTAAACTCCTGTTGTCTTAGAGTCATTTGAGAAAACTTATCTGGACTTTTGCAACTTTGCGGTCAGCAGAAGAATGTGTGTCCCAAACACAGAACAGGACATTCTTCTGAGGGACAAACACATCTGACACACAATGTTTTTTTGAGTTCACTTTGTGTTAAACGTATCTATAAAGTGGTTTTCTATTCAATTGGATTTGTTTGTGTTTAGCCCTAAATCACAGCAGTCGAGATGATCCAGGACACTTGTATTATTTGATGTGGCCCTCTGCCTCGCTGACCCAAAGTAGTCTTTGAGATCATACACTGCTTCCACTACAGGCAGTAAAAAAATACATGTTACAGATATCTGAGAAGTACAGAAGAGAAAATGACAGGTATCCGCTTGTCACAACACACACGTCTGTGTGGAGAAGCGAGGAAGCACACACGCACACACACACCCATGCACACACACACCCATGCACACACACACATACATGCACACACACACATGCACACACACACACTAATATGCACACTCATACATGGAAACACACACATACATGCACACACACACATGCACACACATGGAAACACACACATACACACACATACATGGAAACACGCACATACACGCACACACACACACACACACACACACACACACACGTGCACACACACACACACGTGCACACACACACACATCTACACACACAAGCACACACGCACACGTGCACACACACACACACATACACGTGCACACACACACACAATACACACACACGCACACGTTCACATAACATCATTCTTTAAAACACAGGTCTTGTAACCCCCCTGCCCAGTTTTCCACAGACACACTCTCCAGATGTTTAGCCTGAGCCTGTGTGTGTGTTCTGTGTGTGCGTGTACGTGTGTGTGTGCCTGTCTCTGTCGTGTGTGCGCACCTGTGTGTGTGTTGTGTGCCCTCTGCCTGCACCCAGCAGCCTGCTGTCCTTATATCCCTTTGAAGTGAACATGTGGACAGATAAGAGAGATAAGAGGGAAAGTCAGAGAGCGAGGAGAAGCTGTGTGTGTTTTTTGGGCGTACGTGTGCGGTACGCGGTTGCGTGCGTGCTGTGTGTGTGTGTGTGTGTGTATGTGTGCGTGGGCTGTGCGTTCTCGTAGTGTAGTGTGTGCATATCGTGTGTGTGTATGCTGCCTGTGTCGTGGCCTGATGCGTGAATATTTCTGCTTGTGTGTTGCGCTTGTGTGTACGTGTGATGATGTGTGTGTGTGTGTGAGTGGTGTTGTATTATACTTCAAAGCCGCGGACGCCGTCTGCTGCCTGCTGGGCTCTGAGCTCAGACAGTAATCCCAGGGACGCCTCCACCACTTCACTTTCAGACGTCTCTATTAGTGAGAGAAGCAACAACTGTGTGAATCTGCCATTACAGATGCACAACCCTATTCTTCCAGCCAATACAGGACGCACAACCCTATTCTTCAGCCATTACAGACGCACAACCCTATTCTTCAGCCATTACAGACGCACAACCCTATTCTTCAGCCATTACAGATGCACAACCCTATTCTTCAGCCAATACAGACGCACAACCCTATTCTTCAGCCATTACAGACGCACAACCCTATTCTTCAGCCATTACAGACGCACAACCCTATTCTTCAGCCATTACAGACGCACAACCCTATTCCTCTGCCATACAGACGCACAACCCTATTCTTCAGCCCATTACAGACGCCACAACCCTTATTCCTCTGCCATTTACAGACGCACAACCCTATTCTTCTGCCATTACAGACGCACAACCCCTATTCTTAAGCCCATTACAGTCGCACAACCCTATTCTTCTGCCATTACAGACGCACAACCCTATTCTTCTGTCATTACAGACGCACACACCCTATTCTTCTGCCATTACAGACGCACAACCCTATTCTTCTGCCATTACAGACGCCACAACCCTTTTCTTCTGCCATTAAAGACGCACAACCCTATTCTTCTGCCATTAACAGACGCACAACCCTATTCTTCTGCCATTACAGACGCCACAACCCTATTCCTCTGCCATTACAGACGCACAACACCAACAGTTCAGCCACTAACAAACTCCAAACAATGACAAGGGAAAAAAAATTGTCGCCTTTTACTTTAAAATGTTATGTAGTGTGTGTCTTGGTGCTAACATAGACCAGAGAGAGAGACCAAGAGAGAGAGACCAGAGAGAGAGACCAGAGAATGAGAGACCAGAGAGAGAGACCAGAGAGAGAGACCAGAGAGAGAGAGACCAGAGAGAGGGACCAGAGAGAGAGAGACCAGAGAGGAAGACAATGAAGAGACCAGACAGAGAGAGACCAGAGAGAGGGACCAGAAGAGAGACCAGAGAGGAAGACCAGAGAGAGAGACCAGAGAGAGAGACCAGAGAGAGACCAGAGAGGAGACCAGAGAGAGAGACCAGAGAGAGACCTGAGAGAGAGACCAGAGAGAGACCAGAGAGAGGACCAGAGAGAGACCAGAGAAGAGGACCAGAGAGCTGAAGAGAGAGAGACCAGAGAGAGAGACCAGAGAGAGACCAGAGATAGAGACCAGAGAGAGAGACCAGAGAGAGAGACCAGAGAGAGAGACCAGAGAGAGAGACCAGAGAGAGAGACCAGAGAGAGAGACCAGAGAGAGGGACCAGAGAGAGAGACCAGAGAGGAAGACCAGAGAGAGAGACCAGAGGAGAGGGACCAGAGAGAGAGACCAGAGAGGAAGACCAGAGAGAGAGACCAGAGAGAGAGACCAGAGAGAGACCAGAGAGGAAGACCAGAGAGAGAGACCAGAGGAGAGAGACCAGAGAGGAAGACCAGAGAGAGAGACCAAGATGAGACCAGAGAGAGACCAGAGAGATGGGGTTTGATTATTGGAGAAGAGGGGAATGATGGAGTAGTGGACTGAATTAAGAGAGCTATGGCAGAGCAGTGGTGTGACCAAAAAAAAAAAGGCAGAGCAAACTGTAAAAATGAAATAATTTAATTAAAACAAAGTTAAAAAGTTCTTTAAAATGTAATAAAAGGGCTGAGGGGCCGTCCTCCGGGGACTTGCGCACAAAAACAAAAAGAAAAGGCCGAGAGGAAAAATTTCTCTCCACGTATTGTACAACGGACATCGGGCGGGCACTTACAGGCACGGCAGGGATCTGCCTGCAGGGATCCGCCTGCAGGGATCCGCCTGCAGGGATCCGCCTGCAGGGATCCGCCTGCAGGGATCCGCCTGCAGGGATCCGCTGCGGGGATCCACCTGCAGGGATCCGCCTGCAGGATCCACCTGCGTGCGTTCTCCACAGTGGGCGGCACCGTCTCCTGCTCGCGGTCCAGCTCCCGCCCCTGGGCACAAGGACGAAACCACAGCACCAGAAACCGAACACACAAGCAAGAGACCCCACAAAATGCTCTTATAGCACCGCTACACGCGACTGCAGGTACTTACAGGCAGCGGCAGGGACTCACCCTGCCGCTGCCTGTAGTTCAACGTCACGGTGCTCTTCGCCGGGTCAGGTGTCTCCTCAGACCGCCGCCGCTTCCCTCTCCACCACGCTCCCTGCCACAGACCAGAGCCAGTACCACGTTATACCGGACAACCGATTCACCAGCTGCTGGGGGCCTGAGCTCTTCTGCTGCACCAACTAATCTACATAGAGTTACTCACGGGCGAGGCAGAGCTTTCTCGCTCTGCCGCTGCGTGGATAAGGCACGTGGTGCAGGCAGGTCGCTGCTCTGTCTGGTCTCTTGGAGCTGTGGTGTCCCGAACGCGCTGTCCTCCGACGCTCCTCCGCTCGCTCGTCCTCAGTGGCTTTGTTCTTCCGTTGCGCGCCTGTGTGCTTCACCTGCCCTTTTGTCCTCTGCTCTCTCATTAGGCGCAGGTGCGCTGGTTGTGTGGCGTTCAGGATTGGGACAGCAGTTCATGGGCTCTGTGGCATGACTCCAGCTGGGGTGGGACTAGCAACTAAAAACATCGATGCATAGATAAAAACATCACTGCAAACTAACACATGTCCTCTCCCACGTGCCGGATCACAGAGAGACCAGAGGAGAGACCAGAGAGAGACCAGAGAGAGACCAGAGAGAGACCAGAGAGAGACCAGAGAGAGAGACCAGAGAGAGAGGACCCGGGAGAGAAGACCAGAGAGAGGCCAGAGAGAGACCAGAGAGAGAGACCAGAGAGAGACCAGAGAGAGACCAGAGAGAGAGACCAGAGAGAGACCAGAGAGAGACCAGAGAGAGAGACCAGGGAGAGAGGACCACACTCAACCATTTTGGGCTTGACAGATCTGTGGGTTAGCGCTGTCTGTGATCCTGGTGTGTTTATATTGTATGTATTGAGAGAGATTCAAGGTGTCTCGAGGTGGAGTAGTCGCTGAGTGGAGCAGGACAATAATAAAACATTCAAAAAACTATCTAAAGAAAAAAAAGAAGTCCGTATACTGAGAAATATTCTGGAAACCTGCCCTTAACTTTATTTTGCAAACAAACAAACCCCAAATGGAGTCAAAAAGCTCTGGATTTGGACTCTTCCCCTTGGATCCATAATGTATTAATCTAATCTAAATGTTGCTGTGTAAGGAATATCGCTAGGTTTTACAATCTTCGAGCTTGCAGAGTTTGATGGAAGGAGAATGGCCTCTTCCTCTCCCCCTCCTCCTCCTCCTCCTCTGCATACCTGAGCTCTGCCCTTTCTCACCACGATAGATTCAATGTAGCCCACTTTCCCATGAGCCTGCAGCCATTTTTAGACTCGGCTGCTCCGTGCCGCTGCAGAGAAGAACCACCTTTACCTCTGACAGGACGCAGGCAAAATCAGGAATAACCCGGGATTAGACCAGAGAGAAACAGTCTCGTATGAACCACAGAGAACCGTCTCCGTGTCCACACGCCACAACACAAAAGTGATGAAATATAGGTGTAATATTTATTGCTAAGTTATTAGGATAAGATTTTAAGAGCTTTAAAAACAAAATATATTATTCAATTTAATGTATTTGTATAAAGCCCTAACGTAACAACAGGAGGACTGAGGCTGTAGACCCAGGACTGAGGCTGTAGACCCAGGACTGAGGCTGTAGACCCAGGGACTGAGGCTGTAGACCCAGGACTGAGGCTGTAGACCCAGGACTGATGCTGTAGACCCAGGACTGAGGCTGTAGACCCAGGACTGAGGCTGTAGACCCAGGACTGAGGCTGTAGACCCAGGACTGAGGCTGTAGACCAGGACTGAGGCTGTAGATCCAGGACTGAGGCTGTAGACCCAGGACTGAGGACTGTAGACCCAGGACTGAGGCTGTAGACCCAGGACTGAGGCTGTAGACCCAGGACTGAGGCTGTAGACCCTAGGACTGAGGCTGTAGATCCAGGGACTGAGGCTGTAGATCCAGGGCGCCGAGGCTGTAGATCCAGGACTGAGGCTGTAGATCCAGGACTGAGGCTGTAGCCCAGGACTGATGCTGTAGACCCAGGACTTGAGGCTGTAGACCCAGGACGTTGATGCCTGATAGACCCAGGGACTGATATCTTTGTACACTACCACAGAGCAGCAGGCGCGTTTGGTTTCTCTGCCTTTTCGCATGACCGATTGTAGAGTAATCCAGTGTAATTTCTGGACATTGTGTGTTTTTTCTTACGTTCAATTTGTCGCCCTATTAAACAAAAGATACATACTTGTTTATAACTATAAATCTCTCAATAAGGCATTAATGAATGGGGACTTTGTTATTATCGCTGCATCAAAACCTGAGCAGTGAAGATGGATTGGGAGGCAGCCAAATCACGTCCAAAGAGAGGGAATGTTCCTTGTTTGTGATTCTCCTTGAAAACACATGGGGTCCACAGGAAGCAGGGCGTTTGTCCTTACGAGTGATGTCACCGTCACAAAGCCTTCCATTCACAATGAACTCGAGCTTGAACTAAAGCCTTACACTCAGCGGCAGGAGCGTTTTCCCCACGACATGTCAGATCTTTTATGTTTTTGTCTGGAGACGCTGTAAGAAGTGGGAGGACAACTATCTCTAGTGTTACGAGTAAGACGGAGCAGAGGTGATTCTGAGTTCTCTGCAAACGATAAAAGCTACGTACACAAAAGTCATGAAAAGAATCAGAGAAGAAGAATATTGAGTTCATACTGAGACATTATTCAGTTAAAAAAAAAAATTTGTATAGGCCTTAATCACAACGGTAGTCATCTCGAAGGACTTTACAAAGCTGTCGATTCGCCGACACAGGTCAGAGGATCAAACGCAAGAAATAGAAAGATTAAAAACACATTGGTCCAAAAGCGGCAGAGACCAGTGTCCATAAATGTCTTTGAGTGTCCTGGATCATCACAGTCCTCATACCAGCAAGAAACACCCAGTGGGAGAAAAGTGAGAAACCTCTGGAAGGCCCACATGGAGGGAGGGGTCTGCTCCCACGGACAGAGAGGCTGTAGATCCAGGACTGAGGCTGTAGTGATCCAGGACTGAGGGCTGTTAGATCCAGGAACTGAGGCTGTAGATCCAGGACTGAGGCTGTAGATCCAGGACTCAGGCTGTATAACGAGGACTGAGATCACGCGATGCAGGACTGAGGCTGCTCCCAAGAAGAGAGTCCACAGGAGCTGAGGAGGCTGTGTTTCAGAGCTCCAATCCTCACGCCATGAAACAGACAATGGGACAGCGGTTGTGAATAGTAATGAACAGACTACAGCTGAAGTCATAATGATGACAGATAAAGTAGGAAGAGGAGTAGGATTGTGGTCAAGTGACTCCATATGCAGCTTCATCTTATTGTTGTATTTCTAAGTCCAACCCGAGTCCAACCCGAGTCCACACCCGAGTCCATACCCGATACTTATTGATTACAGCGATCTATGACTGAGCCTTTTCACTGATCTGACTAGTACTCTTAAGTTTAAAATATACTTTTGCAGTAGTTTTATCCTATTCTCAAACAAAAAATACAACAACATCTGTTTAGACCCTCCCACTCACAACATAACACTAGCTTTAGATTTCAGTGCTGTATTCTGGATGCAATATTTGTGGGTGACCAAACATTTGACTTTATGTACATTTAAGTATTTTTCTTAAATACACACAGGTCCAGGACAACAAAACACAATCCACAAACGATCAGCTCAGTTTCCTCCACAGTAACAGAGCAGATGCAGAGTGACAGCATATAGAGCTAATATAATGTCCTGGTTAGCATTTAAAACACAGGTCAATGCAGAATCCTTAACCACAAAGAGACACTGTATAAAAACACTATTCATAACACATTATTTACAATCTGCTGGATAACTGCACACATAACAGCTGGACTGTGTGTTTCAGGCGCGGGTTCTGGCCACGATCGGCGTCACCAGGGGCCTTGGGGACCACCACCTCAAAGTGCACGACTCCAACATCTTCATCAAACCCTTCCTCTCCTGCTGCCCCGAGGTAACTGACCACAACTGACAGCCACCGACCACCAATGACCACAACCTACTCTACTCTACTCTACTCTACTCTACTCTACTCTACTCTGGAGTGTTTCCTCTGGTCCTGTTTAACCAGTACCAGGTCCTTCTTTAGTCCCTCTTGGTCCTGGTTCTATCCAGGCCGCGCTGGTACTAAAGTTTTCTAGCTGACAGTGATTGGCCAGAGTGCTGCTGGAAGCCATGGTTACCAAGGAATTTCCCCAAATACTGGTTTTTGTTGTGGGTAGAGTAGAGTTTTGAACGGCCTCTGTAAGTGAGTGACCAGTGAACCGTCATGTGAGAGTTCCTGGACTTGCCTCTCCACAGACTCGACCCGTGACCTGGCTGCGTCTCCATGGCGATGGTGAAGTGAGGATGTGTTGCAGACTGTTGCAGAAGTCGAAAGCTTTTGATCTTTAATTCAGCGCAGAGTTCAGCCACAGTTCAGAGCTTTTCGCTGTTTCCTTTGACGCAGGTTTCATCCACGTTCGAGAAAGACGTTTTCTCTTCAGACACAGAAACACATTATTATTATATCATTAATCATTGCACCAGGATTAACTCTCGGACTCCCACAACACGGTCGAGGCATTTAAAACACAACATTCTACTGCTGCACGCTAGGACAGAACAGGCAAGTTTATATGTATAGCACAGTTCATACACAAGGAAGGTCCAGTGGTTTTGATCCAGAACATTCCACGTTTATTAACATGTATTAACGGTCATGGACATTGGTTTCTGCCCTTTACGGACCAATGGCTCTACGTGTTTTTTATCATCGCATTTCCTGGGTTTGGACTTTGGGATTCTCTGATCTGTTGTTGACAAATCGACACCTTTGTAAAGACGGCTGTTTTGATTTAGGGCCATACTTGATTTGAGTCCAAGTGCCACTACATACTGATAGTGATATGTAACTAGTTTATCTGCTTCTGCTGCTACTACTTATATTACAGTAGTAGTAGTAGCAGTAGTGATAGTAGTTGTAGTAGTTGCAGTAGATTTTCGCAAATGTACAATATATATTTTCAGCGGTACATACACTTCCAAGAAACAAAGCTTAAAAGGAGAAGGCAGAAGCAAAAAGTATAAATGTACCTTCACCTTTTTCAATTCTACATTTAAGCAACAGCAAGAAGAGGTTTCACACGACAGTCCTGATTTTTATCATCATCATCTTCATCATCCTCATCCTCATCATCTTCATCATCATCATCATCATCCTCATCCTCATCCTCATCATCGACAGACAGACGCAGTAGATAGACAGACAGACTCAGTAAATAGACACAGACGCAGTAGATAGACAGACAGACGCAGTAGATAGACAGACAGATGCAGTAGATAGACAGACAGACGCAGTAGATAGACAGACAGACGCAGTAGATAGACAGACAGATGCAGTAGACAGACAGACAGACGCAGTAGATAGACAGATGCAGTAGACAGACAGACAGACGCAGTAGATAGACAGACAGATGCAGTAGACAGACAGACAGACGCAGTAGATAAACAGATGCAGTAGATAGACAGATGCAGTAGACAGACAGACAGACGCAGTAGACAGACAGACGCAGTAGATAGACAGACAGACGCAGTAGATAGATAGACAGACGCAGTAGATAGACAGACAGACTCAGTAAATAGACAGACAGACGCAGTAGATAGACAGACAGACGCAGTAGATAGACAGACAGACTCAGTAAATAGACACAGACGCAGTAGATAGACAGACAGACGCAGTAGATAGACAGACAGATGCAGTAGATAGACAGACAGACGCAGTAGATAGACAGACAGACGCAGTAGATAGACAGACAGATGCAGTAGACAGACAGACAGACGCAGTAGATAGACAGACAGACGCAGTAGATAGACAGACAGACGCAGTAGATAGACAGACAGACTCAGTAAATAGACACAGACGCAGTAGATAGACAGACAGACGCAGTAGATAGACAGACAGATGCAGTAGATAGACAGACAGACGCAGTAGATAGACAGACAGATGCAGTAGACAGACAGACAGACGCAGTAGATAGACAGACAGACGCAGTAGATAGACAGACAGACGCAGTAGATAGACAGACAGATGCAGTAGACAGACAGACAGACGCAGTAGATAGACAGATGCAGTAGACAGACAGACAGACGCAGTAGATAGACAGACAGATGCAGTAGACAGACAGACAGACGCAGTAGATAGACAGATGCAGTAGATAGACAGATGCAGTAGACAGACAGACAGACGCAGTAGACAGACAGACGCAGTAGATAGACAGACAGACGCAGTAGATAGATAGACAGACGCAGTAGATAGACAGACAGACTCAGTAAATAGACAGACAGACGCAGTAGATAGACAGACAGACGCAGTAGATAGATAGACAGACGCAGTAGATAGACAGACAGACGCAGTAGATAGACAGACAGATGCAGTAGATAGACAGACAGACGCAGTAGATAGACAGACAGATGCAGTAGATAGACAGACAGACGCAGTAGATAGACAGATGCAGTAGATAGACAGATGCAGTAGATAAACAGACAGACGCAGTAGATAGACAGACAGACGCAGTAGATAGACAGACAGACGCAGTAGACAGACAGACAGACGCAGTAGACAGACAGACAGACGCAGTAGACAGGCAGACAGATGCAGTAGATAGACAGACAGATGCAGTAGACAGACAGACAGATGCAGTAGATAGACAGACAGATGCAGTAGATAGACAGACAGATGCAGCAGACAGACAGACAGACGCAGTAGATAGACAGACAGACGCAGCAGACAGGCAGACAGACGCAGCAGACAGGCAGACAGACGCAGCAGACAGGCAGACAGACGCAGCAGACAGGCAGACAGATGCAGTAGATAGACAGACAGACGCAGTAGATAGACAGATGCAGTAGATAGACAGACGCAGTAGATAGACAGACAGACTCAGTAAATAGACACAGACGCAGTAGATAGACAGACAGACGCAGTAGATAGACAGACAGATGCAGTAGATAGACAGACAGCGCAGTAGATAGACAGACAGACGCAGTAGATAGACAGACAGATGCAGTAGACAGACAGACAGACGCAGTAGATAGACAGATGCAGTAGACAGACAGACAGACGCAGTAGATAGACAGACAGATGCAGTAGACAGACAGACAGACGCAGTAGATAAACAGATGCAGTAGATAGACAGATGCAGTAGACAGACAGACAGACGCAGTAGACAGACAGACGCAGTAGATAGACAGACAGACGCAGTAGATAGATAGACAGACGCAGTAGATAGACAGACAGACTCAGTAAATAGACAGACAGACGCAGTAGATAGACAGACAGACGCAGTAGATAGACAGACAGACTCAGTAAATAGACACAGACGCAGTAGATAGACAGACAGACGCAGTAGATAGACAGACAGATGCAGTAGATAGACAGACAGACGCAGTAGATAGACAGACAGACGCAGTAGATAGACAGACAGATGCAGTAGACAGACAGACAGACGCAGTAGATAGACAGATGCAGTAGACAGACAGACAGACGCAGTAGATAGACAGACAGATGCAGTAGACAGACAGACAGACGCAGTAGATAGACAGATGCAGTAGATAGACAGATGCAGTAGACAGACAGACAGACGCAGTAGACAGACAGACGCAGTAGATAGACAGACAGACGCAGTAGATAGATAGACAGACGCAGTAGATAGACAGACAGACTCAGTAAATAGACAGACAGACGCAGTAGATAGACAGACAGACGCAGTAGATAGATAGACAGACGCAGTAGATAGACAGACAGACGCAGTAGATAGACAGACAGATGCAGTAGATAGACAGACAGACGCAGTAGATAGACAGACAGATGCAGTAGATAGACAGACAGACGCAGTAGATAGACAGATGCAGTAGATAGACAGATGCAGTAGATAAACAGACAGACGCAGTAGATAGACAGACAGACGCAGTAGATAGACAGACAGACGCAGTAGACAGACAGACAGACGCAGTAGACAGACAGACAGACGCAGTAGACAGGCAGACAGATGCAGTAGATAGACAGACAGATGCAGTAGACAGACAGACAGATGCAGTAGATAGACAGACAGATGCAGTAGATAGACAGACAGATGCAGCAGACAGACAGACAGACGCAGTAGATAGACAGACAGACGCAGCAGACAGGCAGACAGACGCAGCAGACAGGCAGACAGACGCAGCAGACAGGCAGACAGACGCAGCAGACAGGCAGACAGACGCAGCAGACAGGCAGACAGACGCAGCAGACAGGCAGACAGACGCAGCAGACAGGCAGACAGACGCAGCAGACAGGCAGACAGACGCAGCAGACAGGCAGACAGACGCAGTAGATAGACAGACAGATGCAGCTTAAGTCCCTCGGCTCTGAATGAACTTCCAGCCCAAGGCCAGTCACGCGTTCAAATACTTCAACACTTTGTTCTTTTTCATTTGGCTGAAGACCACGATTACTTGACATTTTAATTCTTATCTTTTACCTTCAAAAATATCCTCTGTGAAAGAAACTAAACTCCTGTTGTCTTAGAGTCATTTGAGAAAACTTATCTGGACTTTTGCAACTTTGCGGTCAGCAGAAGAATGTGTGTCCCAAACACAGAACAGGACATTCTTCTGAGGGACAAACACATCTGACACACAATGTTTTTTTGAGTTCACTTTGTGTTAAACGTATCTATAAAGTGGTTTTCTATTCAATTGGATTTGTTTGTGTTTAGCCCTAAATCACAGCAGTCGAGATGATCCAGGACACTTGTATTATTTGATGTGGCCCTCTGCCTCGCTGACCCAAAGTAGTCTTTGAGATCATACACTGCAAAAATGATTACATATAAGATAATAAATGCTTGAATCAAGTGTTTTTCATCTTAATTTGAGAACTTTTTGACTGTTTTAAAACAAGATTTGCCAATGGAACAAGCTGTTTAGTCTTATTTGAAGTAAAAGCAAAGGAAGGTTTCTCACCCATCATCTGTACTTCTTAGCAAGTTTTCCCGACGTTTCGTCCTCAAACCAAAGGACTTCTTCAGGGAATGAATTCTTGGACCGCGCGTTGGAGATTTATAACCTATGGGTGTGGTAAGCCACACCCTAATCCTGATACTAACTCATAAACAATCTAAGGTCTGCTTGATGTAGAAGGGAAAGTCGTTTCTGACTTTACCAACATCGTAGAGAAAACTCTAGTGGGCCACAGTCGGCTGTTCATCTCCACCTCAAGGCCTCCAACCACACGGTGGATGACACAGAGGTTAAAATTCTGGCTCGGGAGAAGAATTGGTTTGAGAGAGGGGTGAAAGAAGCCATTTTTGTGAGGAAACAAAAACCTTCTCTTAACAGAGGAGGAGGGTTAAGATTTGTTTTGCCTCGCATCTATGACGACATCCTAAAAACAACGCCCTAACTTGGGACAAGGTCAGTGACATGCTAATGAGTTAGGGTCGTTAGCCTCAGCAGGGTCGTTAGACCTGCTCCCTTCTACATCAAGCAGACCTTAGATTGTTTATGAGTTAGTATCAGGATTAGGGTGTGTAAAATCACAAAAAATTGTGATTTTATACCCTCAAATATGGAGATGGGATTTCAAAAGTGGGAATCCAAGGGACTTGTCCATATTGGGCAGCTGTTTGAAGGGGAAAATATGAAATCATTTCAGCAGCTTAAAGACAAATTTAATCTATCAACACATGAATTTTACAAATTTTTACAAATAAGAAACTACCTTAGAAAACATAAAGAATGGGAGTATATATGTAAACAAGAAAATGGAATAGAGAAATTACTGATGACTAAGTTAGAGAATAAAAAGATAATTTCAAAGTTCTATAAAGCCCTGCAGGCTGAACAAGACAATAATGTGGACACCAAGTATAGATGGGAAACTGAAAGAAATATCGTAATTTCAAATGAAAATTGGGAGGAATCATTCAAAGGAGGACATCAAATGTTTAGTAGTATGCTATGGAAAGAGTTTGAATGGAAAGTAAAGATGCGATATTTCCTGGTACCATTGCATATTTCAAAATACAGTAAAATGTCTGATAAGTGCTGGAGGGGTTGTGGCCAAGTAGGAGACTATACACATATATTCTGGGACTGCCCTAAACTCAAAGAATACTGGGAAAATGTAAAAAAACAGATAGAAAGAATCGTTAATGTAAAAATTGATTTAGACGTACAACTGTTTTTGTTGGGTATTATCCCCCAAAATATTCCAATAAAAATAAGGAAGATTATTAGGATGTTAATTATAATAGCAAAAAAAATTATTACAGTCTGCTGGCTTGAACCACAACCACCTCGTGCAAAGCAATGGTGGGACAGAATGAAAGATGTGTTAAATATGGAAAAAGTAACTGCAAGGTTAAAGAACAAAATGAAAGAATTTGAGGACCTGTGGCGACCCTCAATGTTGGAGACAATGGAAATGTAATCACCCCACAAAAAGTTTATTTTCTTTTTTTTTCTTTTGTGATTGTTTCTTATTATTTAACTACGTTCGTGTTATATCTTATTTTTTATTCTTGGTCCTTGTTTTTCTCTTGTTTTAATGGGTGTAGGTACACACGGGGGAAAGGAAAAAAAATAAGAGTGATAAAAACGAGATGAAAAAGTGACAAATGTGGCCATAATATGAAGACAATGTGACGATAAAGTGACAAAAATGTGACGACAATGTAACAAAAAATGTGACGATAAAGTGACAAAAATGTGTCGACAATGTAACAAAAAATTTGACGATAAAGTGACAAATGTGGCGACAATGTAACAAAAAATGTGACGATAAAGTGACAAAAATGTGACGACAATGTAACAAAAAATTTGACAAAGATGTGACCATAATAGGACGACAAGGTGACGATAACGTGACAAATGTGACAAAGATGTGACCATAACGTGACAAAAATGCGACGACAATGTGACAAAAATGTGATAAAGATAGGACCGTAATGTGACAAAAATGTGACTATAACGGGACAAAAATGTGACGACAATGTGATGAAAATGTGACGACAACGTGACAAAAATGTGACAAAATGTGGCCGAAATGTGATTAAAAAAAATGGGGCAATAAAAAGAAAATTACAAAAAGGATTAGGGTGTGGCTGACCACACCCATAGGTTATAAATCTCCAACGCGCGGTCTGAGAATTCATTCCCTGAAGAAGTCCGCTAGGTTGAGGACGAAACGTCGGGAACACTTGCTAAGAAGTACAGATGATGGGTGAGAAACCTTCCTTTGCTTTGACTAATCCCTGTACGACTGAGGGCTTACACAAACTTATCTTATTTGAAGTACTTTTGCAAATTATTTCTCATTCCAAGGGAGACATTTGTTGATTTTTGCTTGTTCCATTGGCAACTTTTGTCAAATTGTGCTCAAATTAAGATAAAAAACACTTGATTCAAGCTTTATTTACCTAATATTATTTTTTTTTTTTTTTTGCAGTGTAAACACAAGATCACTGTGTCATCCATCCAACTTCAGCTCAGCCAATATAGACCTTGTTGTATATACTTTACTGACGTGGTTTTTGATTGTGTCCCTTCCGTTAATGGTTCTAATGAAGCTGGTGAGATGGTAAACATGTGTCATTCAGCCAACTTCAGCTCTGTTAAGCTTAGCATACATCGGACTGGCAACTGATTATATCCGTCGCATACGAGTTGCTGCCCCGCACACATCGACAATCTGACGAAAACGGGCAACTCCCAGTATCAGACCAGTCTCTGGAATAACAGCGCGTACATCGACAGCAACTGGCCTCAACTACAGTGTGTTTTCTGACATAAACTGTTGCGGGTGCAATACACGCAATACACACATGTTGTCAATCAAACAGACACATAGGAGCGGGATGACCAGTGTCCAGGCACCATTCTTCTCCAGCAAAGTCCTGGCGTTGTGGAAAAGTCTCAAAATGCAGGCCCCTGTGCTAAAAGGCCTGTGCAATGCTGCTAGAAAACAAAATATAACACTTTTTAAAATCTGTCTCCATACAACGTTTCAAGAAGAGGGGAAAAAATTATCTTCTTTCCTCCTGATCGTTTAGCTGCATTAAATATTCTCCAGATGGGTCCAGCAAAAATACTGAATGGAAATATCCATCCATCCATCCATTTTCTTCCGCTTCATCCGTTGCCGGGTCGCGGGGGCAGCAGTCTAAGCAGAGACGCCCAGACTTCCCTATCCACACACACCTCCTCCAGCTCGTCCGGGGGGACCCCAAGGCGTTCCCAGGCCAGCTGAGAGACATAGTCCCTCCAGCGTGTCCTGGGTCTTCCGCGGGACCTCCTCCCGGTGGGACGTGGCCGGAACACCTCCCCAGGGAGGCGTCCAGGAGGCATCCGGAACAGATGCCCGAGCCACCTCAACTGGTTCCTCTCGACGTGGAGAAGCAGCGGCTCTACTCCGAGCTCCTCCCGTGTGACTGAGCTCCTCACCCTATCTCTAAGGGAGCAGCCACTCTGCGGAGGAAGCTCATTTCGACCGCTTGTATCCGCGATCTCGTTCTTTCGGTCATTACCCAAAGCTCATGACCATAGGTGAGGGAGGGAACGAAGATTGACCCGTAAATCGAGAGCTTTGCCTTTCGGCTCAGCTCCCTCTTCACCACGATGGTCCGATACAGCTCTGACTGCAGACGCTGCTCCCTCTTCACCACGACGGTCCGATACAGCTCTGACTGCAGACGCTGCTCCCTCTTTACCACAACGGTCCGATACAGCGACCGCATCACTGCGCACGCTGCACCGATCCGCCTGTCAATCTCACGCTCCATTCTTCCCTCACTCGTGAACAAGACCCCGAGATACTTGAACTCCTCCACTTGAGTAAGGACCTCTCCACCCACCTGCAGAGGGCAAGGCACCTTTTTCCGGTCGAGCACCATGGCCTCAGATTTGGAGGTGCTGATTCTCATTCCAGCCGCTTCACACTAGGCTGCAAACCGTCCCAGTGCATGTTGCAGGTCCTGGTTCGTTGGAGCCAGCAGGACGACATCATCCGCAAAAAGTAGAGATGAAATCCTGTGGTCCCCGAACCGGACCCCCTCCGACCCCTGGCTGCGCCTAGAAATTCTGTCCATTAATACAGTGAACAGAACCGGTGACAAAGGGCAGCCTTGGCGGAGGCCAACATGCACCGGGAACAGGTCTGACTTACCCCCCAAAGGACACCCCGGGGAACGCGGTCGAACGCCTTCTCCAAATCCACAAAGCACATGTGGACAGGTTGGGCGAACTCCCATGAACCCTCGAGTATCCGATGGAGAGTATAGAGCTGGTCCAGTGTTCCGCGACCGGGACGAAAACCACACTGCTCCTCCTGAATCCGAGATTCGACCATCGGACGTAGCCTCCTCTCCAGTACCTTGGAGTAGACCTTACCGGGGAGGCTGAGGAGTGTGATCCCTCACACTATATTGGGAATATCAATATTAAATGTATTAAAGCTGAGGGCCATAGTTTCCATGGAACCAGTTCTTGTTGACTGAAAAAAGCCCAAAGTGTCTAATAGTGACTCACAGGGCTCTTTCTTATAGGTTTGCAAATGATAACATGTTTTCTAACGAGATGAAGACTAAACCTTTACATTTTAATAATATTTTCTATTTGAGAAAAGTACTATTTCTGAAAAAAGTTTAGGCGAGTCGATATTTCTGCATCTGTTAGTGGCGCTGCGGTTTTATTCGGAATAGTTTTTGTGCTTTTTGTCACCTGTGAACTTGAAGCACAGAGATTAAGATGGCTCCAGCCCCCTCCTCCCCCTCCTCCCCCTCCTCCCCCTCCCTCAGGAATGTGCAGTGACATCACTCCAATGCTATCTCTGGGTCCGCTCACATATTTCACTGTACGCAGACAATAATGCTTACTCCTCTCTCCTCCTCCCTCCTCCCCCTCCTCACCCACTCCTCCCCCTCTTCCCTCTCCAGGTGCAGGTCTACCCTCTGTCCCGGACGGAGCATGGGGCCGATGACGTCCTGGTGCTGGGGACTGACGGTCTGTGGGACGTCCTCTCGAACCAGGAAGTGGCTGAGGCTGTTTCCTCATTCCTTGGAAACTGTGACCCTGAAGACCAGCACAGGCGAGTCATATGACAACAGATGAATGAATGACCAGACCAGAGAGAGACCAGACCAGAGAGAGACCAGACCAGAGAGAGACCAGACCAGAGAGAGACCAGACCAGAGAGAGACCAGACCAGAGAGAGACCAGACCAGAGAGAGACCAGACCAGAGAGAGACCAGACCAGAGAGAGACCAGACCAGAGAGAGACCAGACCAGAGAGAGACCAGACCAGAGAGAGACCAGACCAGAGAGAGACCAGACCAGAGAGAGACCAGACCAGAGAGAGACCAGACCAGAGAGAGAGAGACCAGAGAGAGACCAGAGAGAGACCAGAGAGAGAGAGACCAGAGAGAGAGAGAGACCAGAGAGAGAGAGACCAGAGAGAGAGAGACCAGAGAGAGACCAGACCAGAGAGAGACCAGACCAGAGAGAGACCAGACCAGAGAGAGAGAGACCAGAGAGAGACCAGAGAGAGACCAGAGAGAGAGAGACCAGAGAGAGAGAGAGACCAGAGAGAGAGAGACCAGAGAGAGAGAGACCAGAGAGAGAGACCAGAGAGAGAGAGACCAGACCAGAGAGAGACCAGACCAGAGAGAGACCAGAGAGAGACCAGAGAGAGAGAGACCAGAGAGAGACCAGAGAGAGAGACCAGAGAGAGAGACCAGAGAGAGAGACCAGAGAGAGAGACCAGAGAGAGAAACCAGAGAGAGAGACCAGAGAATGAGACCAGAGAATGAGACCAGAGAATGAGACCAGAGAATGAGACCAGAGAATGAGACCAGAGAGTGAGACCAGAGAGTGAGACCAGAGAGTGAGACCAGAGAGTGAGACCAGAGAGTGAGACCAGAGAGTGAGACCAGAGAGTGAGACCAGAGAGTGAGACCAGAGAGTGAGACCAGAGAGTGAGACCAGAGAGTGAGACCAGAGAGTGAGACCAGAGAGTGAGACCAGAGAGTGAGATTAGAGAGTGAGACCAGAGAGTGAGACCAGAGAGTGAGACCAGAGAGTGAGACCAGAGAGTGAGACCAGAGCGTGAGACCAGAGAAAGATACCAGAGAGCGATCTGTGAGAGTCTAGAGAGAGAAGCCAGAGAGTGAGACCAGAGAGAGAGCGACCGGGCGAAAGAGACAGGAGCAAGAGAGACCAGAGGGAGGGACCAGAGAGACTTTTTCCTGGTTCTCTGCTGTTGTCAGAGTTTATGGACGTATTATTTATAAAGACACTGGTTTATTGTCAAAATAGAGGGAGGTGAATGAGTCCTGGAAGCGAACGGTGAAACTGCCAAAGAACTCGTCATGAACTGCAATTTTTTTCAAATCCTCAAAACCGGGAAAGAAGTGCATCATCTCATCTTATCTTTGGGCCTAAAACCTAAATATTTGCGTTTTCCTCTGAACTTTTGAACCGGGTCTGTTGCCTCTCTGTGGCCTGTGTTGTGTAAGCGCTTCCCGTCGCAGTGACTCATGAACGTGTGGGAGTGTGGATCACAGGGTTTGAAGCGGAACAAGGTCAGAGCAGAACCGAGAATCAGGAAATATAAAGAACTGGTCCACAAATACCACATGTGGGTCACGTACGGACACACACACACACACACACACAAATACAGTCAACAATGTCAAACTATAAGCAGCACTTGTATATAAGCCACACCACATGCATTTTTAAAGAATCACTGTTGTCCACAAATAGGCCGCACCTGAATATAAGCCTCATGTTGTAGCAGAGAGACGACTGCTGCAAAGTTTTAATGACAAGGTGTTTAAACGTTAGCTTCCAGGACTCATTCACCTTCATCTGTTTCAACGATAAACCAGTGTCCTGTAGCTACTGAAACTGGATGGAGTCTCGCGGCCCGTACACACCACAGAATCATGTGAAGCAAGGAGACGCAGCAGCACGCCGCAGCAGTACGGCGCAGCCGTACGGCGCAGCAGCACGCCGCAGCAGCACGCCGCAGCAGCACGCCGCAGCAGCACGCCGCAGCAGCACGCCGCAGCAGCACTCCAAGCCGCACTCCTCTGCCTAAAATAAGAGCTTTGCGTATTTTTTGGCAGCGCAGCGACCACAGAGTGAAAACACATAAGAAACACACAGTATTAAACATCAGCAGGAGGAGCAGGTGTCAGAGAATCTGATTTATTTTTTTCATAAAGTCTCGCATTTGACCACATCAGCCACAGAGACCGCAGAGACCGCAGAGACTACAGCCACAGAGACCACAGAGTGTCCTCTACACTTCTCCGTAGACGACACAATAGAAAAACACGTATTAGCGACATCGTTAAAGCTCAAAATACTAAAAAGAAGCAGCTTTTTTTCCACAATGAATTTTATCTCGGCATCACACACTGACCTCTATCCGTCCAAAGAAAAGTTGAAAAGGTTGTGATTTTGAACAGTTGTGAAGGTCATGTGACGATTGTGTTTGTGTTTTTGTGTGTGTTTTTGTGTGTGTGTGTGTGTGTGTGTGTGTGCGTGTGTGTCTGTTGCAGATACACAATGGCGGCTCAGGACCTGGTGATGCGAGCTCGCGGCGTTCTGAAGGACCGCGGCTGGAGGATCTCTGACGACCGACTGGGCTCCGGGGACGACATCTCCGTCTATATCATTCCTCTGATGTACGGGAACCAGCAAGACTAGCATCGCTGCTAACTCCGTGTCTCTGAGCCTTTCAGCAGAACTAGCATCGCTGCTAACTCTGTGTCTCTGAGCCTTATAGCAGAACTCCATTCAAGATTCAGTTTATTTTCTATTTGCAGTAAAACCACATTGGAATAACTGTGCAAGAGTACCACAGTCTTGCCACAGCACCATCGCTGCTAAATCCACCAAGTCTGGGGGATTCAGCAGAACTAGCATCGCCGCTAACTCTTGGGCCTCTGACACTGATAAAAACTACTTTCTGCTGTTTAACAAATCTTCCGGACTTTTTCTAGATGTATTTTTTTTTATTTGACGAAGGCAGAAGACTCCGGTCGGTAACAGACGTGGCTCTCAGACGACTGTTGCTACGGTAACAGACGTCCATCGCAGAAGACTGTTTCTAATTAAAGCCAATGCAGATATATTTATGATTTACAATTTAAGTTTGTTTAATTTTTATTACTGTTTTCTCACAATGTGCTTCTCATTTAGTCTCGGCTCTGGTTCCATCTTTAGTCCTGGCTTCACACACTAACTACATTAGATGGTCCACTTAAAGCTCGGGTACGTAACTTTAAAACCACAGAAAGTATCTGTCGTAAAACCCCATGTGACTAGTTCCTCGCTCTCATTAGTTTTCATGTGTTTTAAGCTTCTGTCATTTCTTTAAAACAGCTTTTTCAGACAGAACAGTGAACAAAAAGGACCACCCTCACTCAGCCAATCAGCTCTCAGCCTCTGGTCTCTCGCTAAGGTCTCTCTGGTCTCTCACTCTCTTCTCTCACTTTGGTCTCGCTTCTGCCCCTCTGGTTTCTCTTCTCTCTGGTCTCTCCCTCTCTGGTCTCTCACTTGTCTCTCTTCTCTCTGGTCTCTCACTTGTCTCTCTTGTCTCTCCTATCTGGTCTCTCACTTGTCTCTCTTCTCTCTGGTCTCTCCCTCTCTGTTCTCTCACTTGTCTCTCTTTCCTCTGGTCTCTCACTTGTCTCTCTTTCCTCTGGTCTCTCACTTGTCTCTCTTCTCTCTGGTCTCTCACTTGTCTCTCTTCTCTCTGGTCTCTCACTTGTCTCTCTTCTCTCTGGTCTCTCCCTCTCTGGTCTCTCACTTGTCTCTCTTCTCTCTGGTCTCTCACTTGTCTCTCTGGTCTCTCACTTGTCTCTCTTCTCTCTGGTCTCTCCCTCTCTGGTCTCTCACTTGTCTCTCTTCTCTCTTGTCTCTCTTCTCTCTGGTCTCTCACTTGTCTCTCTTCTCTCTGGTCTCTCAATTGTCTCTCTTCTCTCTGGTCTCTCAATTGTCTCTCTTTCCTCTGGTCTCTCAATTGTCTCTCTTTCTTCTGGTCTCTCACTTGTCTCTCTTCTCTCTGGTCTCTCACTTGTCTCTCTTCTCTCTGGTCTCTCAATTGTCTCTCTTTCCTCTGGTCTCTCACTTGTCTCTCTTGTCTCTCACTTGTCTCTCTTCTCTCTGGTCTCTCACTTGTCTCTCACTTGTCTCTCTTCTCTCTGGTCTCTCCCTCTCTGGTCTCTCACTTGTCTCTCTTCTCTCTGGTCTCTCACTTGTCTCTCTGGTCTCTCACTTGTCTCTCTTCTCTCTGGTCTCTCCCTCTCTGGTCTCTCACTTGTCTCTCTTCTCTCCTGTCTCTCTTCTCTCTGGTCTCTCACTTGTCTCTCTTCTCTCTGGTCTCTCAATTGTCTCTCTTTCCTCTGGTCTCTCAATTGTCTCTCTTTCCTCTGGTCTCTCACTTGTCTCTCTTCTCTCTGGTCTCTCAATTGTCTCTCTTTCCTCTGGTCTCTCAATTGTCTCTCTTTCCTCTGGTCTCTCACTTGTCTCTCTTCTCTCTGGTCTCTCACTTGTCTCTCTTCTCTCTGGTCTCTCAATTGTCTCTCTTTCCTCTGGTCTCTCACTTGTCTCTCTTCTCTCTGGTCTCTCACTTGTCTCTCTTCTCTCTGGTCTCTCACTTGTCTCTCTTCTCTCTGGTCTCTCACTTGTCTCTCTGGTCTCTCACTTGTCTCTCTTCTCTCTGGTCTCTCACTTGTCTCTCTGGTCTCTCACTTGTCTCTCTTCTCTCTGGTCTCTCACTTGTCTCTCTGGTCTCTCACTTGTCTCTCTTCTCTCTGGTCTCTCACTTGTCTCTCTGGTCTCTCACTTGTCTCTCTTCTCTCTGGTCTCTCACTTGTCTCTCTTCTCTCTGGTCTCTCACTTGTCTCTCTGGTCTCTCACTTGTCTCTCTTCTCTCTGGTCTCTCACTTGTCTCTCTGGTCTCTCACTTGTCTCTCTTCTCTCTGGTCTCTCACTTGTCTCTCTGGTCTCTCACTTGTCTCTCTTCTCTCTGGTCTCTCACTTGTCTCTCTGGTCTCTCACTTGTCTCTCTTCTCTCTGGTCTCTCACTTGTCTCTCTGGTCTCTCACTTGTCTCTCTTCTCTCTGGATTTCTTCAGTCAAAATCCACCTAAAAAAACTATCGTTTATCTGTAATTTATGCACGTGTTTGAGTCTGTCACCTTTTTCGATAATCTTTATCAGAAATAAAAGTAAACAAATAAAAATACATTTAAAAAAAGAGGACCCCCCTGTTTTAACCACAAATAACATGTATTATTAATCAAAACAACAAAAGTTAAGTACCCCAGCTTTAGTTTTGAGTCATTTTTCATTTAAAACTGGATCCAGGACTGAGTGAACTCTGAATGGAAAGATGTCCAGACACAAAGAAGAGAACGTTTTTTAGTTACTGTTTAAAAATGTTGTGTTAAGTAAAAAAATATGAATACCATTGTAAATCCCAGGAAAGAGCAGAAAATAATCCTTATATCAAAACATTTAAGACAAAAAACAAACATTCCCCTCTCAATAATCTGTATTTTCTGTAATTTCACTTCCTGTTTGTAGATCTCCATAGCAACCAGGCTCTGAACTGGTCTAAAACACAAACAAAGGAACTCCAAACTTGTTATTTGACAAATTAAAATATTGGAATAGATCCTCATTTCCACTATGTCCCCTCCCTCACCTCTAATCATGAGGGAGCAGCGTCTGCAGTCAGAGCTCTCTGTCCCCTCACACACCTCTGGACATGAGGGAGCAGCGTCTGCAGTCAGAGCTCTCTGTCCCCTCACACACCTCTGGATATGAGGGAGCAGCGTCTGCAGTCAGAGCTCTCCGTCCCCTCCCTCACCTCTAATCATGAGGGAGCAGCGTCTGCAGTCAGAGCTCTCCATCCCCTCCCTCACCTCTAATCATGAGGGAGCAGCGTCTGCAGTCAGAGCTCTCCGTCCCCTCCCTCACCTCTAATCATGAGGGAGCAGCGTCTTCAGTCAGAGCTCTCCGTCCCCTCCCTCACCTCTGGTCATGAGGGAGCAGCGTCTGCAGTCAGAGCTCTCCGTCCCCTCCCTCACCTCTAATCATGAGGGAGCAGCGTCTGCAGTCAGAGCTCTCCGTCCCCTCCCTCACCTCTAATCATGAGGGAGCAGCGTCTTCAGTCAGAGCTCTCCGTCCCCTCCCCCCCACACGGGAGGAGCTCGGAGTAGAGCCGCTACTCCTTCACGTGGAGAGGAGCCTGTTGGGTGGATCTTGATTGGAGCAAGTTTAGTTCCGTGAGTGAATAAAGTGACGTTAAAATTGTTTGTAAATCTGTGATGTCATCAGAAAGTCTTTAAATGTTAATGTTTTTTAAATAATTCATTCTACTGAAAATGTTGAATTTGTGAAATCTGAAAAATGCACTTAACCATAAGGACATTAATCAGACCAGAGCGAGAGACCAGAGAGAGAGACCAGAGAGAGAGACCAGAGAGAGGGAGACCAGAGAGAGAGACCAGAGAGAGACCAGAGAGAGATTGGAGAGAGACCAGAGAGAGAGACCAGAGCGAGAGACCAGAGAGAGAGACCAGAGAGAGGGAGACCAGAGAGAGGAAGACCAGAGAGAGGGAGACCAGAGAGGGAGACCAGAGAGGGAGACCAGAGAGGGAGACCAGAGAGAGAGACCAGAGAGAGAGACCAGAGAGAGAGACCAGAGAGAGAGACCAGAGAGAGAGACCAGAGAGAGAGACCAGAGAGAGAGACCAGAGAGAGAGACCAGAGAGAGAGACCAGAGAGAGGGAGACCAGAGAGAGAGACCAGAGAGAGAGATCAGAGAGAGAGACCCAGAGAGAGAGACCAGAGAGAGGGAGACCAGAGAGAGAGACCAGAGAGAGGGAGACCAGAGAGAGACCAGAGAGAGAGACCAGAGAGAGAGAGACCAGAGAGAGAGACCAGAGAGAGAGACCAGAGAGAGGGAGACCAGAGAGAGGGAGACCAGAGAGAGGGAGACCAGAGAGAGGGAGACCAGAGAGAGAGACCAGAGAGAGAGACCAGAGAGAGGGAGACCAGAGAGAGAGACCAGAGAGAGAGACCAGAGAGAGGGAGACCAGAGAGAGACCAGAGAGAGGGAGACCAGAGAGAGACCAGAGAGAGAGAGACCAGAGAGAGAGACCAGAGAGAGAGAGACCAGAGAGAGAGACCAGAGAGAGAGAGACCAGAGAGAGAGAGACCAGAGAGAGAGAGACCAGAGAGAGAGACCAGAGAGAGAGAGACCAGAGAGAGAGACCAGAAAGTAATACAACCTTCTGACACATTCTCCAAACACAGAACTCTTCCTCTTTTGCTGTTTTTCCGTCGTGTCTTTTCTTTTCTCTCCTCGTTCTAGAAACCGCTCTATTGTCCTCAGTCTCTGTGGCTTTTGTTCCAGACGTCAATCTCTGAGTCTGAGATTGTCGAGTCCCAGTCTCTGAACCCTCGACATCCACACATCTCTGTTTAAGTGCTTCTCAAGCGTTTTCACATTCCATGTTTTTACTTGAAGTCGCTCTCGGAGAAGATTATTACAGATTATAATCCCTGGGAAACATTTAAATCATCCCTGATCGCTGTGTGTTCAATATTCTCTTCAGTTTCTCTCGTTAAAGAAAAATGTTTTTTTCTTTTAAATCACATCTGTTATTATCTGTGTGTCCAGATGCAGGTCAC